ATATATATATATATATATATATATATATATATATCGTCATAATTCTTCACCAAATCAGGCCACCAGATAGCCATACTTAGAAAACTCCAGGGATTCTCAGACTGCCATTGTGCAGGTCTTATTTCAGTATAAAAAATGTTGAAAGCATGAAAGTTTAAAGTTTAAACTCTACTCCAGCGAAGCGGTTTTGAGGGCATTGCTCCTGTTGAGCTGGCGAGTTTCACCGCTTCGCGCCTAGTTCACTGCCAACAAAAAAAATAAATGGAGAATTGGATGATAGTCGCAGTGTTGCACGCTGAACTGAGCTTTGAATACTGTTTATGGCGTTTGGCATTTGCATAATCCTTTTTGGAAATTTTCTTTCGTTCTTTCGTTCTTTCATTCTTTCATTCTTTCATTCTTGCACTCTTGCATTCTTTCATTCTTTCATTCTTTCATTTTGGCATTTGCATTTGCGTAATCGTTGCGGTCTTTGCTTGTGGAATGCAAGCTGTATGGCATGTTTTATGTTCTCCCCTGCTGCCAAAACAGCAAATTGCCAAATTCCTTTTCTGTTTACTACCTAGGTACTAGGTAGTAGGTAGTACATTTTAAAATATTTTTTTTGTTTTCTAATGCGGATTAAAAAAAAAACATAATACTGGATAATAGTATCCTGATATAGTTAAACGGTATATAGTATTGAATATTATTGGTTGAAGTCATTTTACATTGGATCTTCTTAAACCACTAGTACCTTTGCCGCGTGGGAAAGTAGCGGGCCTCGGGTGGGCCTCCGACCTTTTCGGATGGCCGAAACGAAACGACCGCCGCCGATCGGATTTATCAATGGCAGCCGTCGTTGGGCCCGGCCTCCGAATTTTCAGAAGTCTGGGAAAACAGCCACTTTTCCCTAATTTCCCAACACTGGCGGAGGTACTACTGGTTAATAAAAAAAATATATATAATAATAATAAAAAATAAAAAAAAAGAAAGGGGAGGACATCGGTTGCTCTTTAGCACTAGGCTGTGGTAGGATCAAGGAGGAAGTGGCAGTCTAGGTATGTCTCACTTATTCTGGGACCATATTTGGGACCTGTTTTCTGAACTAGTTTGGGACCTGTTTTGGGACCTGTTTTGGTACCTGTTTTGGGACCTGTCTATGTCCTCAGCTGACCAAGGTGCCAGGCCCATGTTGTTTATCGCTTCCATTGGGTGGTTATCCCGCACCAGCTTTGTTGGAGAGGGACAGCCAGTGAGGAGGTGATGGAGCCCTTCTCATGGAAATGAGAGGATCGAATACATTTTGGGGGGGGTACTCCTGAAGAGCAGCTCAGTTCCATGGATTTGTTGGGGGGGGAGGGGGGGGGAAGAGAATTTGATGATGAGGCGGGAGCAGAAGATTTTGCAGGCATTGCTGTAGATGTTGCCAAAGGACGCAGGGGATGGCGCCACTTGATTCAAAGTATTGGTCGGCGGAGGCATTGCTGAATAAGGAAAGGTCAAGCTTCTCTCATGGGATTGGCGCGGAATTTGGCGGAGTTTAAGGACGAGGCGGAAAGTGTCACACTTCTGATAGAAGCTTGCAGGCATCTCTGCAGAGGGTGCAGAAGGCCACAGGATATGGCGCAAACGCCGAGAAAAAGTGATTCAGACTCTCAATTGCGAAATCTCAATAGGAAAAGATGGCGCTGACGGCAAATGGAGGTCAGCGCTGATGAGAAGATTGACGTCCTCCTGATCGGAAAGGGGGGAGGGGGGGGGGTTACTCCTGAAGAAAAAGTCAAGCCTTCGCGCCAGCCTTGGCGGGTTTTGATGACCAGGCTCTCAACGGGGATGGCATTGACCTCTAACTACCAAGGTGAGATCTGATGGGGAGATTGAACTTTTCCTGACTGGGAAGAGTGCCTGTTCCTTTTGGGGGGAGGGGGAGGAGGGTTGGAGGAGGTACTCCTGAAGAGAGAAGGTCAAGCTCCTTTTGTCCAGGGCTTGGCGGGGATTCCAGGACGGGGCAGCAGCAGAAGCTTGCAGGCATCTCTCTGAGGAAGCAAGGTTTTGCTGAAGGACAGCAGAGGATGTGTCGCGGAGTGATCCAAAGGCGCAATTGCAAAGTCTCTGTCGGAGCGGAGTTGGCATCGAACCGAGGTGAGGAACGAAATGGACCCTTCTTCCGGGCGCAGGGATGGAGCTGTCACAGCTGTGAGCAGGATGAAGGACGTGCGATCTGCGGCGTTGCCATTATCAATTTCGACGTCGGCGGATACCCTTGCATGGGGTTCCAAGCTTGTGGAGCAGCTAGACTACCTCTTCCGCATCGATCCATCCATCGATGAGGTTGGGTTGGTACCTTCGACAAAGGGTTTGGACTCTTTGCTTCTAGAAAGTACCCCTGCGGTGGCGAATACTCATCAGGTAAGCGCAGCAGTTGACAACAACAACAAGAAGAAGAAGAAGAGTGTTCTTGCAGAGAAATATTTTCACTCCCTCCCTTCGCAGTCATTGGAAAACGGCAGCGACCTTGTTGATGGCGCTTGCGATGGTGAAGGGTGTGGCTATGACGGGTGCGCATTCTGGCTTCAAAAACACAAATTGGCCGTCGCTGTGCCAGCTTCCGAAGCGATGTACACATTCGCCTCTGCAACTCTACGAAAGTATTGCAGGGCCACCAACATTCATAGCTCCGCACCGAAGCAGGATCCGAATCGCAATCCCGCTCATGAGGAGTCTAGCGAAATGGGAGGTGTCTGTCCATTGCTTACAGTCGCAGCTGGCCTAGGTGGCGGTGTGATGACTGGAGAAGGCGATGATGGCTTTGTTGATGCTGGGATGGATGACACACGGAGTTTGCTGATGAAGTGCACGCGGGTGCTCGTCCTCATGAACGGAGAGCACCTGACTGCGTGGAGCACGAGAAAGCGTATCATCCTCGCCGCCTCCACGAGCAGTCGCACACAGTTTTCAAGAAGTCTTTGCTCAGAGCTTCATCTCGCGAAACTTGTCATATGCATTCACCCGAAGAGCGGCGAAACGTGGAGCCATCGGCGATGGGTTTTGACCCAGATAAAGGAAGGGAAACTGTATACAGATGGACAGCTAAGCCAGCTGTATGAGAGCGAGTCGCAGCTTGTTCAGAAGGTGGCGGAGATGTACACGATGAATTACCGAGCGTGGTATCACCGCTGCTGGTTGTCCCAACAGATCTCGCTGAAGCAGGTGGTCGACGAGCTGCGCGAGAACGACAGATGGGTGCGGCAACATGTCGCTGACAACTGCGGGTTTCACTACAGGGAATGTCTCCTCTCGCGCGTTTTGGACCTGGCTTTGAGAGAGTGCGACGAAGCCGGGATTTCTTTTCTCTGGAGCAGCTTTTTCGCGGACGGAGAACAGTCGGCGCAGACCCGTGAGATGCTCTACGTCTGTGGCGAAAATGCATCCGCCGGAAGGCAGCTCGTCGCAAGCTTATGGAAAGAAGAGGGAAAGAAGTGCGCTGGACTTATTGCAACGTATCCCGGCCGCGAGTCGTTATGGGGATTCCGCCGGTTCCTGTTCCATAGGTGGTGGCGCGACATCGCCGATGGCAACTTCATTCGAGGTGCAGCGGCCAGCTGGAACTTGAAAACCTCGTCCACGTGCGACCGAAGGGATCATTCCCACATAAGCTATGCGTCCGTCAACTGCCGCGCACATCATCCGCCGGCGGAACAGGTCGCCTGGATGAATCCCGAAGACGAGTTGTTTCTGGCGGAACGCTACCTCGATTCTGCCGAGGATGACGACAACTACCTGCTGGGAGACGGAAAGCAAAGGAGACTAGCATGCTCCTACAAGCTTTGGGTGCTTCAAGAGGTGCAGAAGCTCTTAGTACGGGAAGAAGCGCCTTCGAATGGCTGCCTTAAGGACAGGCTACACGACGAGGTTCTCCAAGTGCTAGATGATCTGGCAAATAAATACTGCCCATGGATGAGTGCCATGTGGCAAGCCAGAGTGCAGGTATTGTTATCTTCACAATGACGACGACTAAATAAAAGGCGGAAGCCATTACTTAGGTGGCAGCGGAAAGCCATCAAGTCGTTGAAATCAATCAGCGACTGCTCTGAAATCCTTCACCAATTTCTGGAGGAATGATCGCTCTATGGATCTCTCGATGTATGGATGTACAGATGCATGTATGGATGTCCAGATGCATGTATAGATGTCCAGATACATGGATGGTTAGATGAATGGAGGTACTACCAGGTAGGCTAATTGGTTTTGTGGGGGGTGGATTACACGTTACAAGGGGTCTGGGAAGTCCCATCTCTAGTACCCCTGTTTGCCATTGTCTGGGGTCTCTGCAATTTGCAACTCCTCCTATCTCCTCCTTGTGGTGATATTCAGTCATGGGACATGTGCCAGTGGGCCCAGTGGTAATCTACAGATAAGTTTCCAGAGTCCCAAGGAGGATCTGGGAATGCATGATACAACCATGGAACTCTGTCTCAGGATTTGGGACAGTCCCAGAGTCCCATGGTTGTATGCTACCCTTCCGAGACCGTGGCAGGAAGCGCTCAGGGCCCATGTCATCGGGGGGGTGTAAAAGTCGAATAAATCGGATTTATCACCATCTGCGCAGTAGGTCAGATAAGTGCCAAGTGGTCAATGGCACCATAGCAGTAGTAGATCCAATTTAACACCGGTCAGCGCCACTGGGGGGGCGCACCCGGGGGTGGGAGGTGGGGGGAGATAAATCCAATTCATCACCTTGTTCTAGGACCATGATGGCAGTAAATCAGATGTCCTAATGTTTAACAGTTT